AAAAAAAAAAAAAAAAAAAAAACCTGATCAAAAAAACTATGAAATACTATGAAAAATGCAATTAATGTTAATAAAAAGTATTTTCATGATAATCACAAGGATTTAAAGCAAAATACACAGGGAAAAAGGGCCAACAGGGAGTACAGCCATCTCATTGGGCAGTGCTACTCTCTATTTTTAGGACTGTCCATCTTGTTCCAGGTCAGCTTCTTGGGTTTGGCTATTTAGACTAACATGGCAAGTAGCCCCTGCCCCCACTCAGAGGATATTCTCTCAAGTTAGCCCCCTCAGCAACCAAGAAAAGGCCCAGAGAGAACAAGATCACTCGTCAAGAGTATTTTTGGGAGACAACAGGTGAGAATCTTGGAAATAAAATAGCATACAAAAACACTGCTTGTCTCCTTGGCCCTAGGGACTGTGAGCAGTGAGTATGGCGCAGGTTGGGATGGTCTATGAGAGAGAACTGCAAATTTTCCAAGAATACGGAGATACAGAAGCAATCTGGTTTGGAGAAGAGAGTATGAATCAATTAATAAGGTGGATGCAGAAACACAAGATTCCATTGGATGCTCCAGTGCTTGATATTGGAACCGGAAATGATGTTTTCTTGGTTGAACTTGCAAAATTTGGTTTCTCTCATTACTGGAATTGATTACTCTCCCTCTGCAATTCAGCTTTCTGTAAGTATTATAGAAAAAGAAGGTTTACTTAAGGTAGAAGACTTTTTGAATTCTTTCACAAACCTGTCTGGATTTCATATTGTATTGAAAAAGGAACTTTTCATGCCATAAGCCTTAATCCTGACAATGCAGTTGAGAAGAGGAAGCAATACGTGAAATCTCTTTCCAGGGTGTTGAAAGTAAAAAGGATTTTTTCTAATAACCTCATGTAATTGGACCAAGAAAGAATTCAGTGAAAGAATTCACTGAAAGATTTGAATTTTTCAAAGAGTTACCAACACCCAAGTTCAGCTTTGCAGGCAAATCTGGAAAATAGCATGGCAGCACTAGTTTTCCAGAAAATGTTGAGTTTTCCTTATACAAATCCAGATAGCTTTTTAAAGAAGCTACACAACAAAAATGAACTGACACAGAAAATGCAAGTGCAAATAAATGCTTAGTAAGTATACAGGATCCACATGTTAAGAAGATAAAATGGGCTGGTTAAAAAAAAATCATAAACATGTAACTGGTAGGGTTTTCAAGATCAACCAAGAATAATTTTTAATTTTCGTTTGTATTTGAAATGTAAACATTTTTCTCTTTGATTAAAAAACTTTCCTATAATTGCTAAATAGTGAAACTTTAAAGTAGTATATTAATTTACAGAAAGAAAACAAACAAACAAAAAAACGCTTCCTAAAATCGCTAACTAGCAGCAGATTCCCAAGACACAAGGAAGAAACAAAAGGCCCAAGTCAAAGGGTGAGGCCTAGGACCCTCACCAGCCTTAGCCACTGTCAGGCTCCCACAGGAACGTGCTGCTTTCACACACATCTGCAAGGGAAGCACAGACGGTGGGAAAGTGCAGGCCCCAAAAGTCTGGGTACATTGGCTGATCTCACCTGCACAGCTCACTCACCTCATACAGCCCCTCGAAGAAGCTGTTCTTGTCCTCTGTGCTCCATGACTCCCACTGCCGCCGGGCCTTTTTGCCTTCTTCCTTCTCACCACCAGAAGAACCTAAGTTCCGAGAGGAGGACCTCGAGCCCCCTGCAGGGGTGGTGGGGGAAACCCCAGGCACATTTCCAGATGATGATGATCCAACACCTTCAGTTCCTTGGAGAGAAAGGACTACACAGTGATCTGTTCTAGAAAGCTAGAGGCCAGGGCAGTGCAAAAAAGGCAGGGAGGCAGGGGCTCAGCACCCCCAGGTCTCACTCCACACTTCTCAATCAATGATGCCAGTAGGAAAAACAGAATGTGCGCCAGCAAGGCTACTCAGCAATGACAGAACCCTCACCTGACCAGCAATAAGACTCTTCAAAATGTTTTTACAGTGAGAAAAAGGAAAGAGAGTTCACATGGAACCACTTAATAGCACCAGGATGGAATGCTGAAACTCATCATGTGCTATCCCAATGAAACAGGGTCCTGTCCCCTCCAAGAAATGAAGTCTCACATCACATTTCACTGCATCTTTTTCAAATGAGGTTTTGGCTGAAACATTCCTACCCTCTTTATAAATAAGACAGTTGAGATTCAAACTCAAGAAAACATTAAAGGCTCAGTGAGTAGGGCGCTGGCTACATACACCTGGGCTGGTGGGTTCAAACCCAGCCCAGGCTTGCTAAACAACAATGACAACAACAACAAAAAAATAGCTGAATGTTGTGGTAGGCACCTGTAGTCCCAGCTACTTGGGAGGCTGAGGCAAGAGAATTGCTTAAGCCCAAGAGTCTGAGGTTGCTGTAAGCTGTGACACCATGGCACTCTACTGAGGGCGACATAGTGAGACTCTGTCTCAAAAAAAAAAAAAAAACAAAGAAAACATTTAAGTATTTATAAAACACTATTTTCTGTTAGAAATAATCAATACTTCAGAATGTGAACACTAGTCTTAAAACTCCTCATCCTTGATCAATTTCCCCCAGAAAAAGTGGCGTCTGAGAGAAATAGCATAATACTTCAAATTCTACTAAAAAAATCAGTTCCTGATCTCAAGTTGAGCCTTTTGAGACAAAGCTGGAATAAAAAAGCACAAAAAAATACAAAGTCAATACTCCAGAGCTGTGGATCAAGAACTCTGGGCTCCTGAAAGAAGGGAGACAGTGATGAGACTCAAAGGTCATAAATAGGAATTTTTCAATGCCCTGACACACTCCTCCCACCCATCCCAGTTCCTCCTCTCAGAAGAAAGGGAGATCCCAGCAAATCCCTGTAATATCCAGTATTCTCTTTTCATGGCTGCAGGACCATAAAATGCTGAGAAATCTTCAAACTCTGAAAAAAATCTTACAACAAGGGTGAAAATGAGATCATAGAAATAAAAATGCTTCAAAAAGCAAAAGCCAAACAAATGTAGATTATTGTTAAAATGCTTTCCTAATAAAATAATCCTGGGTTCTGCTAAAGAGACCCACTTCCTGGTGGACAGGGAGGCCCTCCCTGGGCAGCCACATGGTGGCTGGGGGTTTTCCCTCCCCTGGTGGGAAGGACAGACAAGGAATTTCATAGGAAATTATAAAAAATTATAGAAATGAACAACCAAAAGTCTGCTAATCCACATACACTTGCAAAAACTATCTCTGAAAAACACAGCAAAAGCCAGTGTAGGGTTTACCATTCTATCTGAACAGCATGCGGGATGGAGACTGGGCCCCACCTGACCCCCTGTGGAGCCTATCAGAATGTACTGCGCAAATCTGCCACGGGTCTGATCCTTCTTCCAAGTAAGGAGTATTTGATTTTCTTTTTTAATTAAGCAGGCCCAGGAGGGGTTTAAACCCACCACCCTTGGTGTACAGGGTGGGTGCTGTAACTGAGTTATGGGCACGCTGCTGAGTAAAAAGTATTTGAAACAGATGATCCCATCAGTCAGCTATCAAAAAGCCAAACATTTTCACACACTCAAAATGTACTCAACTATGTGCAATGGGTTTAACTCTCTTTTGCAAAGATGTGTCAGCTAGCGATAGGTTCACTTCCTGAGGCAATGCCATCAGGTACACAGAATGCAGGTTTCTTAGAACTGCACTGGCCAATTCCGTAGCCTATGAGGCTGCTCAACTTTAAATATCAACTAATTTGAATTTTGAAATGAAAAACTTAGTTCCTCAGTCACACTGGTCACATGTCTGGCATGTGTGGCTCTGCACAGTGGACAGCACAGAACATTTCTGTCACTGCAGAAACTATTCGTAGACAGCGCAGCAAATGACTGTCAACACTCAGTCACAGAATAAAAGAAGGCTCAAAGCACCCAACAGCACCAGGGCAACCCTACTCAGTGGTCCCACAAAGTAGCCTAAGGAATTACTGGGCATATTATCTAACTCTATCCATTCCTCACCAAACCAAACCTGAAGCTGGTGCTTTCCAGACAATTTCAACAGGTGTGGCAACTTTAGAGGTGGTTTCCAGGAGTAATGTTTTATTCCATTTCTAGTCAGTCCCAGGGGCTTGTGCTGCAAGCTAAAGGGCAGGTTCCAGAAGCCATCTTTATAAAACATCTTGGCTCATATGGAGCCTGCAATTGCTCACATATAGTCATCTGAGGAAGGGGTACTGTCCATCTCTGGACCAGCACAACAAAGGACTCCACAGTTGCTTTCAATTTCTTTGGAAACACTCCCTGAACTCCATCCTCCCCAGCAAAACTTGCTAGGCAGCCCTCCCTCACTGGCATCAGGTATATACTTGAAAGTACTAGATACACGTTTCTTTTTCTTTTTTTGAGACATAGAGTCTCATTTTCTTGCCCTCAGTAGAGTGCCGTGGCATCACAGCTCAAAGCAAACTCAAAACTCTTGGGCTCAAGCAGTAGTCTTGCCTCAGCCTCCCATGTAACTGGGACTACAGGTGCCCACCATGATGCTTGGCTATTTTTTTTAGAGACAGGGGTCTCGCTCTTGTTCAGGCTGGTCTCAAACTCATGAGCTCAAGCAATTCACCTGCCTCAGCCTCCCAGAATGCTAAGACTACAGGTGTGAGCCACCCCACCTGGCCCTAGAAACACATTTTTAAAAAAATCCATATTCCAGATGCCTGGATAAATTTTGTGAGATTTTAAGAGATCACAACACTAGTGGTCCCAGACCAGAAGAATGAACAGTAAGGATAACAGCATGGAGGCATTTCTGAGCTGGAAGGGATGGAAGGCTGAGAGCAGAACAAAGCAAATGTGAGAAGGCACAGAAGTCAAGACACTCTGGTGGGGCCGATAGGGCAGCAACCACCACTCTACTGCCAGCTAAGGGTGAGGTTTGGAAATGTTCAGCCTTTTAAAAATGACACCTCTTCAGTAGAGGAAAAAAGCAATATGAACAACCACAAAAGAGAGCATAGCACCCCAAAGCAACCATTTCTAACATGGGGGCTCATCATTCTAGACCTCACATGCTTTTTAAAAGCACAGTAGAATTAACAACTCAGAGAAGTAGCCCGTGGCATCCGGTCTTCCCCCAAACTTCAGAGGAGGAAGCCGGTGCACTGCTGTTAATTCCAGCTCAAACACAATGAAAATAAAAAGTGGGAGCAGAGGTATCTAAAAGAATACAATGGGGACACCCCCAAGGGACCACCCTCCCCCTCAGAGACATTCAGATGGAAACAAAGGTCAGGATCTGAGGGGGAAGAGAGAAGTAAATAAAGGAGAAGGGAGAACTGCAAAGTTGAGAGAGGGAAAGAGAAAAATGATTTTGAACAGGACTGGGTTGGCATAGGGCTTTCTCAGGAGGTGGGAGTGAGTGTGAGAAGCACAACAAAAAGTAAAAGTCAAAGTCAACACTTCATATGTGGCCACAAAGAAGTTCAACAATAGTTTGCATAAAGAGAAGGCAATATGCAAGAAACCTGAAGTAAAATGATGCCCCCAAGAACAGGCTCCCGACAGTGTACATGCGTATGATGCCACAACCATGCCTGGCCCCCAAGCATAGGCCACATACCCAGCAGATGCTTACTCAATGGCAGCTCAGGATCCAGAGCAGCCCAGATAAGAGCCCTCTCTATACTCCCTCTGCCCCAAGCTGGCCCTGACCAGCACATCGAAGGCCCCTGGCACCCAGGGCCTCCAGAACTAATCCCTGCCCCTCTTCCCTCTCAGCCCACTTCAGTGCCACCATTCTCCAGTGGCCCAATGGCCACCTGCTTCTCCTTCTCATTCTGCTGTAAATTCCCCAGGCTAGTTCTGTGCCATCTCTGACAAAAGTAAGACACTCTAAACAGCCTCCTCTCAGGTCTCCCAAACTTCCAGCCCCTGCCACAGCCCACCCTGCAGACCACATGACACACATAGCCATGAGGCCTGGGTTTACCTTCCTGCTGCCTGTCCCTCTCCCTGCTTGTCTAGACTACCAGCTCTCTTCCCTGTCACATAGCTCTGGGTCGGTCTGCAGTATCATCACCCACATCTCTTCCTACCAAGGTCACTAGGCAGCAAAAACCAAGCCAGAGCCCAATCTTCTCATTCCAAACCTGGTCCATGCTGTCTAAACACCTCTGAACACTAAGCAGAGCACACCATCCCAATATTGGGGGGGGGGGGACAAGGCATCATGGTGGTAGGTCCTTTATCACATATAGAGCTAGAGGATCAGAATTTTACAGTGGAGGAAACCTGACCCTCCCTCAGTTTGTGAAAGGTGGGAAGTTAAATGATATACCCAATCCACAAGGCTAATCAATGGCAAGAGTTACAACTTTGGAGAATGTCTTCCTAGTGAAAAAGTTAAAAACAAACAAGTTTATGATTCAATTTAGGTTAAGATACAGAGGTGTAATTATAATCTATCACAGGGAAGCATCCTGTAGCCTATGTCTGTAGCACAAGAGAGCAGGGACCCTTCCTGGGAGGCTTGGGACAAACTGCCACAGTTCACAACATGTCATCATAGTTGAGACAGGAGGCAAAATGCCCACAGCTTCTAGGGCATTTTGTGCCTCTCCCAACACAGCTCATCTTATCAGATGCTATCAGAGCAGCTTTGCTCTCAGAATCCCAGACAGGGCTGAGGGGACACAATCTCCACCAAGTTCCCATGGTAGATACTTCAAGCAAGCCAAATCTGAGTCCAGAGCACTCCACTCCTCCCAGCACCTGATGTCACTGGCACACA